AATGAAAAAACACTGTGTAAGTGTTTCTCTCTAAACTGTTATAAATACAACGCTTATGTAATTATTTCGATCAATCGCCGCCAATTTTTGTAACTATTTTTTTTTTGTTTCTTTTCACCTTGAAATCTATATTCCAAAGTGACAAAGAACGTTTTGCACATTGATTCTCTACCATTAAACGGCGTTCTCCTATCGTCTCAAGCATCAATAATGCCTGATACTTGCAACAACAGAAAGCGCGCTTATAATCAATTGTTCCAAGATTTTTTTTTACAATCAACAAATTTCTCGAACAATTCACTCTGAGTCTAGCAAAAAAGTGTAAATCGATTGATATAATGCTGTTGCACACTGGTGCATGCATTTAAAGACATATTTCCAATATTATCAAATTGTCAAATTATAATTTGTATCAGCACGGTTTTTAATGCTTTTAATACTATAATACTAAATCACAGCATTAATGCTTAGATAGCGGATACAAGAGAGAATTTATAATACGTCAGATAATTAATAATTTTACAGCATACCATTTTCTCTTTTTTTTTTTTTTTTGAATAGAATAGAATTACATAAAATGTGCAAAAATTACCCTATACGTTAAAAGCTTGGGTAATGAAAACGAAGAATAAAAAAAATTGTTCACCTTATTCTTGATATGCGTACGAGTCAGTGCATATAAGCCTTATATCAAATATTCGTACTTATGATTGTATTATATTATACGTCATCTATACGAAATATTAAATTAAAAGTCAGGTTTTCGAATAATAAACTATATTAATTTGAATTTCATATATGATATTATATGGAACTATATTTTTTGAAGTCCATCTAATAATATGATTGGATATTTCTATAAATGTTAATCTCTTGCAGATTTACATGTATAAAACATCCAATCATATTATTAGATAAATATTCAAAATTATATTTAGTTCCATATTTGCATTAATCCTAGTATAATTTGCATTAATTTGCAAAATTTCAAATGCTCCAAATCTTTACTAATTTTCTGTTCCAGCAGTCAAGTATTTCATCGTCATAAGACATCTCTCCTGTTTCCTCCATCACAAAAGCAAAATATCCGTCAGAACTGATATTATAAGTTTAAAGGCATTCTAAACCGTCTTCTATCATCTTCTTCTCATTAACATCTCTCATTGAAATTTTTCACTTCAAATATGAAATATTCTACTATTGCCTATTAATGTATACACATTTCGTTCCATAAACCTAGGTCGTCTTGGCTGGTGGTGCACTTTTTTTTCGTTCATCGAGAATATTAACGATAGAAATTTACTTCATGGAAAATTATTTCGTACATGCTTCTACATTTTTTTGTTTTTTATACGGTTAACGTATACACAGATATCAAAGAGGAAAATTAAGAATAAAAAAGGGATTCCATGATGATGTTCTATTACATTTTGGCAGTTATCTTTTGCAAAAAATGATTATTATTATGCTATATTATGTACACTTTTGCTTACACTCATAGTTTTATCTAAAATGTGTCTTAAATGTAACAAAGTATTCTTGCTAGATAATTTCATTACTCATATATTAATTGGTGGAACGATTTTCAATTACAGTAGACACATAAATACTTAATAGACATCATACATTGAATCCCTAATTTTGACAAATGCCACCAGCCAGTTTATTTATAAAAAATAATTATATAAAACTAGTCAATTTTACAACCTCTGATGCTCAATCACAATTTCGTAAAAAAAAAGGATTAAGTTTAAAAAAGTCTATTACCACTTTACAGAAAGAAAAAATAATCTTGCCTGTTTTGAAAAGTGATTTGAATTTCAGAGTTGTACGGTAGCATTGACAGGTAGCAAAATCAAGCCATGATCAAATATTAAGATTGATACAATATTTAGAATTTGTGATCATATATTTAAGAAGAATTTATATGTAAAGAATGGTGATGCAAAAGTAATGGGTATATGGATTAATTTATGGTATTCAGATACAAACAGCATTAAACTACATGTTTACTCTCATTATGCTGTGTTCCTTTTTAAATCACACATCCCATCACATTTTTCTTAAAGAACAAACAAATCTTGGAAGTATGAAGCCATTGTATAAAAATTTACTAAAATGATGGATACTCACATGTAATATTTACAGTGGTAAAATGTAATGATTAATATGTTACTCATGTTACTTGTTTACATGTTGTGCTCTTGATAATGGCTTGACTCTGGCGCGCACTTTAAATTATGTACATTTATATGTATTTATGTACAAAGAATGACTCGCACCGGCATTCGCATCACTTCATTCACTGAGTTCACTGTTTTATGCTCAGTATGCCTTATTTACAAGTAATTCATATTTTCGCTGTTTTACTATGATGTTAATTGAAATTTTCAATTTTTTTTTTT